CGTGCGTGAGGGGAATCGAAAGATCATTCTTCCGTTACGCGTCGGCCGAAGCTATCGAGCTGATCACGGTTGACTCCCCACGCAAAAGGACACCGCCCAAGAAGAATGAAGCAGTCGCTGAGATCGTCAACAACATGTCCGCTGACCTCGTGATTGATTTCACAGTGATCGTCGATGGTGATATCTACCCCGTAGAGATTGCGAGAACCGACGAGACACAGGCCGCTGACAACGTCACGGACGATCCAGGGTTCTCCGTTGCTCCACCAATACCTGCACAGGATGTAGATGTGGATGCGCAACCCGAAGAAGAACAAGGTGCAGAAGACCCTGATCCCAGGCAGATGATTCGTGAAGGATTTGTCGCGCAGCTTCAGGACTATGTGGGAGTACTCGCTCAGGGCGAAATGTCGGTCGGAAGCGATCGCCTCACGTTCTGTATCGCTTGTGGCAGTGATCAACACCATCTGTCCAATTGCACGGAAAATGCTGCGACCCGGGATCTGGTACTTCGAGGCATCCAGATCATCAAGGAAAGCCTTCTTCGATATCCTCGTCGAGTACCTCCACAAGAGGCTGAGCCAATGGACGTTGACACCACAGACCATGTGAGTGTTGCATCCTCGGACCGACGACCCAAGGCCAAAGCCCGACCGCGACGCGGAGGCGAAGCCGTACGGGGTGATGTGGTCTTGATCCGTTATGAGAACAAACACAATCTCTGCACGGATGTGGAGAACCGTCGGGGCCTACACGATGCTTGTGGCGTACCACTGCAGGACTTGGGACCAGAGAATAGCCAGCGGGTGGTGGACCTCATTGAGCAGCTTTCGGACCATCGCGACCGACGCCTACCTCAACGAGGAGACCGTCCTAGCTTTGATTATGATGATACCATTCAGGGCTACACCAATGCAGGCTACGAATGCATCGGCGGCGGAAGGCCAATCCGGTGCGGGATTCTCGACCTGATCCCAACCAAGGGTGCAAGCTTCATCCACAATCGATGGGACATCGTGAACGAAGTTGTCCTTCGCAACATCACCCATCATCGCAGAAGGAACGCGGATTGGGCGCTATCATGCATCCAATCTGACCTGCGTCACAGAATCGCCAGGCGCCCAGGCTCGGAATGGCTTGACAACAGGTGCCAGGTGGCATTCAGCAGCGTCATTCGATGTGATGAAGGAGGGTGGGTGCTGATCGAGGATTTGGTGAGGCATGAGCAACTATGGACCCATGACAGCAGACGCATCACCGAAGCGGTCTCAAGGACCGATGAGCAACAGAGGAAGAGAGTGTACAATGAAAGACTTCAGCTATTGTTCCAAGGGAACATGCTCGCAGCCACGAGACGCCATAAGGCCAAGATTCGGTTGCAGTTCCTGGGAGTGAGAGTGAAGGACCCCGGCGTGGAAACTCTTGGATCCGCAGGTTCGAACATGTTGGTATCGATTCCTGACCAGATCACGGAGATCCAGAACAATGATCGTTGCCGGCACAGCCAGAGGTACCTGAACGTTTGCAACGGCTGGGTGAAGCCATGGGCAGTTCGGGCTACAAGTGGTCACTCTGCGCACTCAGATCCCCAGAACAATTTGCTTCAGTTGGACAAGAACAGGTTCGCAATATCTCCATCTATGACCCTCTTGCAACGTCTTGGAGGCGCGTTCCACGCTACGGCATGCCGCAACTTGGATTCCATTGTCACGCAAGGCATCATGCCTGGTTCGGAGGACCCCGACGGGGACTTCGACCATAGGCGCCAATTTCGAGGCAACCAAGGCGGCAGACTCCACAGCTATTGGGGGGTGTTTGCACCGTTCGATCACCGGAATGCGACGACCAAGATGCGGGTACATGGACGAGATGCCAAGCACATGCCACTGGCGGTCCTCCATGTCCCATCGCAGGACCTTGCACGAGAAGATGGACGTATCACAGACAGCGGCATCATGATCGTTGGCCGAACGATACCGTTCCAGTTCGTCAAGGAGGTATGGTTTTGCGTCCCGAATCCTCAAGATACACACTCTTTCGCTCTGGTGGAAAAGATCTACGATGAACGGTTGGAGAAAGAGATGGTGTTGGACTACAATGCATCACCTTTGCTCCCTGAGTTCGAGAGATACCGAACGCCAAGCAAGATCATGGAATTGCTTTGCGAGATGCCTCCTGGACCCCACGACACCAGCAAGGAGCAGATCATTCGAGACCTTACGACTGTCCTGGAGTCCCACAGGGAGAACACGGTTCGGCATCACTACATGGACAAAGGGATCAAGTTTGTCATCAAGAATTGGCGACCCGAAGACCTACGCAGAGACGAGGATGGAAGGAGAATGAGGGTGTGCCCGGCATGCTACAACATCGTTCCAGCATGCTTCTCCCGATGCACGTCTTGCTGGTCACAGTTCGTTTCTAGCGGATATTACCAAGGTTCTCCACAACGGGAGACTCCTACGGAGATCCCCAGTGACTTCATTGCTCAGACAATGGAAGCCGCGGCAGCAGCAGTGCCTGAGGCGCCCGAAGAGGAGCAGGAAGCCATGGAGGTAGAGACCGTTGCGGAACCTGAGGAAATCCCAGAACCATCTGTCATCGCGGAGGACGATCCAGAACAGGAACCTGATGAAGAAATGGACACAGAGCCAGGAGAGGACTTTGATGACGCAGTACCAGATGCAGTTGCACAGGAACGCCGTCCCGTCCTCATCGCCGGCCAGTCTTTGAACATGATCCTGAGCTACAACTCGCACGTACCGCCATGCAGCCATCCTACTACTCAGGGAAGCGAAATGCCCATTGTATTGACGCCAACATGGTCGCTCTTTCGTATATGGCTTTCGTGGTATGCAGGACCATCTACAAGGCTTGGTCAGGATTCGCGAAGTGGGCTACTATGCCGTTGTTTCAGATGAAGGAGAATTTCGCACTTGGCCAACGTTATGATGTGCTCGGAAAGTGGGGATCTTTGGCTGTAGTGGACAGAGAGACGGGTGTGAGCAGGGACGTGACTGACGAGGAGATCATTCGCTTTGCCAAGGAGCCTGAGAACCTCAAGCAGTACGATCCCAACGGGACTTACACTTTGAAGCGCTTCCGGACGAATCAGATGCTTTCGTTGCTTACGCGGGGAGCCAACATGATGGGAATTGGCAGGGACAACTTCAACCCTACTACGTACTTGAAGAGCAACAGGGATGAAGATGTGAAGGCTATGCACTTTTGTTGCCTGAACGTCCTGTGCGAGGTGATTCCGATGGTGACAGGACACCAACAATTCTCAGTGCTACGACCAACGCCAACTGGACCGGTGGACTTCTTGTACATCGACCCCGTCGGTATCCTGCTGACTCATGCCGATCATTCAGTCCAGACCATTGGATTGCTGGTGGACCACAATGTGCAAATGCCTGCGCATTTCATGGACAGATTGAACAGATCCAAGGCTGAGAGACAGCAAAACCCGACGACCAAGCGTACTGAAGCCCTACACCACATTTCGGCCGCTGACTATCTCCCTCCAGGTGGTACTTCCATCCTGGACACGCCTGTCACTACGGAGGAACGTGCAAGCGCTTCTTCGGCCAAGGGACCTTCAAAAGGGCGTGAGAGAACCGGAGGTGAACAGCATGGAGGCTGGAACGCCAACACCTACTATGACTACACCGCCGGCAAAGGCCGAAACAAAGGCAAGGACAAAGGAAAGCAAAGGGAACAGTATCCAGAGGAAAACCTCCGGCCCTGGGACCGCGATCCTGCGACCACGCGAAGATGGAGATGAATCAACGCTTGGTCTTCCTCGCCTATCAGTTCGTGACCTCTGAGCTTCGCCCATGGAATGCCATCGCGAATGCTTCTTTCTTCGGTGACGCCTGATTCGTTTGCCATTTCAGGGGATCGTTACTGACGTAGATGAGTGTCACAACGTTTCTAATTGGGATGCAAAGCTCTGATTTTCAATGTCAACGTTGCGGCGGAACATTTTCTGTTGTCCTATCGTGCCATCTTCCGGGTGAGCAGCGTCGGAGACGCAACTCATGGGGGGTGCGAACGGACTGCGATGCCTTGTCAAGTTCTAAGGTGTCACTATAAGAGCTGTGAGCAAGACCGTGTAAAGTGCAAGAGAAGGGGGCACGCTACGCGTCCCTCGACTCTAAGGGGGCACGCTACGCGTCCCTCGTCTTTACCTTTCTATGTGACCGCCCACGCAACGTTTGGCTCAAGTCAATGCCCATAGCTAAGTGCTATATGTGTCTTCTATCCTGAGCAATCAGAGCTATCCCGTTGCACAGACGAACCGCCGCCGGCAGTGAGTGCAAAAGGAACGGCCGCCGGTTCTGCCTGCATAGGATTGCACGTGTGGAAGTAAGAGGGAGAGACAGGGTCCAGTCTGTGGAGAGTGCAAGCCAGCCACACCTACATTCATTACAGCTCTGGTGGGGAGAGCAGCAACCTAGTCGAGATCAATCCCCCACGCATTATTATTACTATTATTATTATTATTGTTATTGTTATTATTATTATTATTATTGTTATTATTAATATTGTTATTATTATTATTATTGTTATTATTATTATTGTTATTATTATTATTGTTATTATTATTATTGTTATTATTATTATTATTACGGTTCAAATCTTGGAAAGTTAGGGCCGAGACGGTTTGGGGGCCCCGAGTTCTAGACTTCCGGGGCTGGGCACTCTGGGTTCGGGGAATACCGTTCGGTTCAATAGTAGTAGTAGTAGTAGTAGTAGTAGTAGTAGTAGTAGTAGTAGTGGTCCCAACTGAAAGTGGAGAGCCCGATGCTCTCGCGTGTAAGGGCGTGAGGCATTGTGTGCACAGCTGGGAGAAAGTAGTGCTTCAGGTGGAGTAGCAGATGCGAGAGAAGGGTCCCGTAAGTCGTCAAATTCCGTTTGATTCTCAACCGTGCCAATGCCCAAACTCTCAACCCTAGTTTTCTGGGCCTTCCTAAACCCTCAAGAACACCGATCAGGTTCCGGCACATCAAAACCACCGCCAGTACCATTTCACCTGCTTTCCTCACCACGTAGAACCTCCTTCTTGAGTTTATGTCGTCGGACGGTCGTGAACGTACGACCTTGTACAGGTTTGCGTAGAGATCAGCTTGGGCGGTCCCCGAGGAAGCCACGTGTTTGATTCATGGTGATTCTACATGCGTGGTTGTCAAAATTCATTAATTCCCCACATGACCCGAAACCCTAAACCCCAGCCTCCCAAAACCTTAAGAAAGATGTCCAACGAGTGTCCGTTCAACCGTTCGCTTCCGTGGGGGACGGCCCGGGAGCCACACACGTGGATGCCGACGATTTGATGTTGGCCCTTTTAGAAACACCCATGCCAGATGTCGTGGATGGTTCTGCATTTTCTTCAGGTTTTTGAGTCTTGCCATACTCACAAATGGCCTACTGCTCCGAATTGTCCTGATGTTCAGTCTTCATCGTAACATGTCAATGTGCTGACATCGTTGCATGCACTTATTTTTTTGAGGTTGTGCCTCTTTGTGTTCTCTCTCTCTCTCTCTGTCTCTCTCTCTCTCTCTCTCCCTCCCTCCCTCCCTCCCTCCCTCCCAGTCAGAATATGTATATACATATATGTATATATCTATATATATATATACATACACACATTCGAGTTATGCTTCCATAGGTTAGCTACAATGCTGCCCAATTCCAATCCTTCGCCGTGGCAGCGGTAGTGGGTTGGAGTCGTGGAGCATGTCCTGACCCAAAGACTTCGAGCAGTAACCCTGGGACTGGCAACTAGACATCGAAAGCACGAAGGCCCCCTGAAATCTCAGATGCCGTTTCCGTTAGTTGAAGATGGAGTCTCAACTTTCCAGATTTCAAGAAAGCTGCGTTTCCGAAGGAACCCATATCGCCGCTGACTTTTCAAGCGCGACACTTCCGTGCACTTGTCAGTTCGGCTCCTTTCTGAAGGAAGTAATGTGGGCTGACTCTCCAATTCTCGAGTTGGAGTGAGGGGCGCCGCTTGCATAGATTCGGGGTTTAGGTCTTACAGCCTCCATTGCATTCCGGGAGAGGAACAAAAGCCACCAAATGATCTGCAAGCTGGCCCCATCGTGCGATTAAGATGCCGACGTCTGATTGATATGTGTGATGGATCCGCAGTTGCTTCAGCATGCATGCTCCAGCTTTACGCCCTTCGAACAGAGTTTGCTTCACTGAACAAGTGGGGGTAACTCCCTGCGTTCTGGTGGCGCCGGCAGCATTCAATGAGTCTCCGTTCTTGCTATCCGTCGTTTGAGACGCTGGTGCAAAAGACGCGCGAGGGGCAATCTGTCTTGCATCAAGCCGACCAGGAGGTGTTCGCGAAGTTGGCAAGCCAAGACGATACCGATGTCACAGTTGCCTTCACTCAAGCTTAGCCAGGAACAAGAGTCACCTGATCTTAACCCTAATTAAAACTTAGATCAGTACTGGGATTGAACTTAGGGCTTTAGGGCATAGAGCTATCCACTGTCGTGTGGAGCAACGTGCACACACAATAGTGGCGTCAGCACAGTGCCTACACAGGCAAGCCATAGATTGGGCTACAGCAGCACAAGGACCTCTCCAGATTTGCTATGGATGCAGATGTGGATGCGCTTGTAGCTGCAAGTCCGAGCGAGCGCAACAAGGTGCAAAGCTCGAAATCAACAAGCCTGAGGAAGAACGCTCCAAAACACGAGACCCTTAATCAAGCTGCTTCAGGTTTTCTCTGCCGTCCAGTTGCTAGTTGATGTAACAGAACCCGGCAATGCAGGTATCAGAACGACAAAATCATGCATCCCAACAAAGGTGTGAAAAGGAGCTGCTTAAACACAAAGTGAGGGTACTACTAGTTGCAAGTGCGACATAGAATGCGCCGAATCGATGCGGCTTTCCGATGCCACCACCCTAAACCCGAGAAAGCCCCTTCAAGCCCTAAGGCCCGAAACGCTAAAATCTAGCCGGCAGGTGCAGTGCGGACAGGCTTTGGCACTGGGATCCGCTGTTGCTGAAGACGCCATGGACGTAGGAAACCACCTTCCAAGAGAAGCTTGGCTTAAATCCTAAAGCCCGAACCCTGTAGCCGTTTCTGAGGCTTTAAGAGGGGGTTTACGGTTCTGGGGGGATCTTGAACCTTCGGGATGTGGCATCTTTGGCCTTTGGTTTCAGTTGTGCTTGAAATCTTAGTCTTGGATTTCGAGTTTGGGGCTCGGAGGGCTAAGCTCTTTCGGCGCAAGGTCGGGGAGTTTACGGCGTTAGTGTTCAGGGTTTAGGGTCGAGGGCATTCGAAGAAATCTACTTCCGACTTTCTGAGCCCAGGTTTATGCCAGCCCCGGAAGGCTTAAACCTTTCTGAATCGCCAAACCCAGGGGCCCGAAAGCCCTACAATACACATAATACCATACCCCCAAAACCGTACTCGATTTCTTAAGGCCCCTGTATCCAGCTTTGATCTGAAGCCGCAAAGCCGTAGAACCTCAACCGATTCAATCAGAAGTTTTCAGATCACGATAATCAGGCACGGAATATTTGGTAATGGTGTTGTTAAGGGTTCCGTACCACATTTACAGCATAATGTACCTCAAACCCTAGTGAAATTATGCAGACCCTTATCGTACTGCTGTCAAGCTTGTGTCGGCCCTCATACCGAATTCTTGATCGGCGGCAGTGGCAACACAATGGAGCATTTGTAGTTTAGTCTAGTGTAGAGGCTGTTTAGGGCTTGGGTGGTCTGGGGTTCAGGGCTTAGGATTTACTTCGCAAGGCTTCGAGGAGTTGTTTTGGGCTTTGTGTTGGGGAGGTTTGGGGTTGCAAGGCTGATTCTCAGATTGCTACTCCTGCGACGACACATGCTGCGTCTACTACTTGTAGTATGACTCTTATATTACTGCTACTGCTACGGCTATTCCTGCTCCTGCTCCTGCTTGCTCCTGCTCCTGCTGCTGCTCCTGCTCCTACGGCCGCTCCTGCTACCCGCCACCGCAGGGTGCTCCAAATGCTGCCATGCACACATACAAATAGACAAGCAATACTACGATACATACTAATCCCATTCCTGAGGTTTCCTTACCATAGTTATCGCAAACGGCACCCACAAAAAGTTATTCTAGCTGCACCCCTAGACCGTCAACCTTTCAAACCCTAAACCGTCACCCCCAAACCCTAAACCCTTGAACCCCCAACCCTAAACCCCAAACCCTAAACCCCTTTAAGGGAACCCTATAATAGAACCCTCTAGTACCCTTAAAAAGGAAGCCTAAACCGACGGCGCCAGGTCCACACTCTCCAGCCGGACCTGCCCGGCCCCGAGAACGAAGACGCTCCAAGAGTTGCCCCTGCGAGTGCCCTGGCCCTTTAAGAGATCTTAAAGAGGTTTAGGGTTTAGGGTTTAGGGGTTTATGGTTTAGGGTTTGGGGATAACAGGGGGCTACATGGGGTGTTCTACAGTAGGGTTCCCTTCTACTGTGGGGTTCTACATTGGGCACCGGCCTTTAAGGGAACCCTTAAATGGTAATCCTGAAGGAACCCTCAAGCGAACCCTACAAGGGCTCCTAAAAGGGCTTTCGGATTACAAGGCTCCGGAAAGGTTTTGGGTTTAGGACTCCTAAAGGGGTTTCCGGGTTTCGGGCTACATGTGATTCCTACGAAGGTTCCCATACGGCCTCGATTTCGAAAGTTCTTACAGAAAGCAGCAAGGGTGCCGACTGCCACGGCCAAGAAAAAAGGCCTTTGGGGTTCAGAGCGACTTGTAACCCCACTTATAACTGCCCATGAACCTCCAAGTGTCTTTTCGACATTAGGGTTTGCGCAAGCGCTGGTGTCCGAAGGCAGTTAGGATTGAAGTACAAGCATTGTTGCTGCCAGCCTGTGTTCCTACTTTTTGGACCAGCCATACCGTGAACCCAAAGTGGAGGGGGACAGTGTTAAAGGTAATTACATGTTCTATCTGCAGTGTGGGGTTAGCTAAAACGACCCAGGGCCGAAACTAGGACAACGCCGTACAGTTGTTCATTCTTTTGGGTTTCGTCTTGCGCATAACTGCAGGGTCGATGCGGCAGGGTTCAAGGTTCAGGTTTTAGGGTTTAGGGGTTTAGGGTTTAGGTTGCGTGGGGCTCACAGTCCGGGGTGTCATCGAGTTTGCGTCCTCGCGTATTGCGACCCCCAAAGCCTTATTCGAATGAGTCAGGACCCTGAACCCTAAACCCGCAACCCCTCAACCCCTAAACCCCTAACCCCTCAACCCCTAAGCCTAAACCCCTAACCCCTCAACCCTCAAACCCCTAAACCCCTAAATCCTCAATCCTGAACCCGAAGCTCTGAAGAATTTGCCATGATCCCAGGCGGAGGAACGAAGGTCGAAGTGTCCAAGGCCACAGCAAGCAAGCGATCGGTCACGGGGTTTAGGGTTTGGGCTTTAGGGATGAGGATTTCGGGTTCAGGGGTTTAAGGGTTTCGGGTTTAGGGGTTAGGGGGTTAGGGTTTCGGGTTTAGCCGTTTGGGTTCAGGGTTTCGGGTTCACCAGAACTCCATCAAGAAAACGTGGAATAATGCGGGAGGTGTTGGGGTCTTTGGTTTGGGGTTGAGGGTTCTAGGGTTTCCCGATATGTCTGTGCTGTGCTGTTGCTCAATGGTCTTCGCCTGTATTCTCGAGACCTTGAGCTCCCACACCGAGAAGTCCATCCAAAGATCCCAAATCAAGGAGCCCTCCAAGATGTATGATTGATCCTTTGTCGATACTTCTAGTTTGAGAGGTACCTGGTTTTGAGAAACCGCTGCCCATGGGCTCTGAACCTGCAAGCGGCAACCCAACGGAGATCCGGAAACCATGCAACCTGAGCCTAAGGCCCCACTTCCACTTTCATGCAGTGTTGGGGTTTAGGGTTTAGGGTTTAGGGTAGGGCATTTCCCCCACTTCCACTAGCCGTCGGGTGCCTCGAACTCTAAATCCGAAAATAGATGCGAAGTGCTATCACAGGGTGCTGATGACTTCTCTGTCTCCGACTTCGAACACGACTTGCAACTTCACACTAAATCCCAGACCCTCAACCCCCCCTCATGGCACTTGCGCCAGGATTTTCGGGCGTTGTGTAACAGTTTGGTCAACCAGCTCGTGCAGCAACACATGCGCGAGATGCCACGTCTGCAAGAAGGGAGGTGCTATGTGCTGCTGGAGTTGGGATGTTGTACAGGGCTCATGAAGTTTTAGTGAATTTCGTGGTTACTTTTCTTATCTAGTCTAAGTCAATCTAGTCTGTTCAAGAGATGGACCTCCCCGTTCTCGACCTTCAGCCCTAGATTCTTAGCTCTATGGCTTGGATCCGAGCTTTAGACCCTGACCCCTTTGGGGTTTAAGGTTAGGGATTAACAGAACCTGTGAGAAGGATGCACCGCTTAGGGACTGAAGTTTCGCGCTTCAGGGCTTACGGGCGAGGGGTTTGAGGCCGTAATCCAGGGGCCTCAACAATTACCAATACTATTTTGGGGGGGTCCTTACTGTAATGTTCGCTGTAATAATAGTAGAACTTGCTCCAAAACCCTATTCTAACTATTAAGGCCCCTGTTTTTGAATTTCGCGTAGGGAGCTTCTGCCCGTCAATTGAGGATGGCTGCTGTGAAGGGAGGCAGTCCACTTATCGGTCCGCGCAGTCCGCAGAACGGTCCACGCAAAGATCCACGCAAGCGCACCAAAGACCAGGAGGAGTGCAAGTTTCGGATCAAGTTCGAGTTTAAGATGGGTAGGCTAGACTGCTTCAATTACTGTTTATCAGCCTACCTGCCTGTGAATCTATGCATGTATGCACGTACACGTGCGCGAACTCTCGAGACGGCTCCAGCGTAAACCTCTTGCGGCTTCTCCCAAGCCTCTGAACTCCGAACCGTCGTTTGCAACCTTTACAGAGCTCTTACAGCACCCTTATACAGCCCGTGTACCTTCTAGAACCCAGCCTGTCGCCCGCGTGGAAGCCTTCTAGCACCCTAACCCCCAGACTCTTCACAGGACTTCTGGATGCCGTCCAGCCTGTCCCAGGGAATGAACGACGGTACGGAGTCTGACTCCTCTTCGGCTGCTGCTGCGAGGACGTAGCATGCAGTGTTCGCAAGCTTTTGCATCGATGCTGCGGGCCCTTTAACCAGCAAGCCCCTAGACTCTGAATTGTAAACCGTAGGCGCGATCCCTAAACCCTAAACCCCCCCTGTTCAGGAGCAAAGTCCAAGCGCGAGACATACTGCAGAAGTTAGAGTCTGAGGCAGACGAGGAGGAAGAGACAAAGACGAGCCCCCACTTCGTCAACTCCTTGTATGCTGAGGCCAACATGGACTTCGTCGGTCACAGCAACCAGGTTGAGAGGTTGTAATGTAGGAGCCTCAATAAGTACCAATTATTGCTTTGGGGTTCCTTATTAAAGTTGTAGTATAACGGGCCCCGAAAACCTGATTCTAGCTATTAAGGCCGCTACACTAGATGAACGCGGAACCCCAAGCTCAAACATAAAGTTTTTTGGGGTGGGATATCGGCATACTTGAGAGAGGGTTATGGGATATCTCAACTTTGTGGTTGTTGTCCACATCCTTTGATTCCCTATCTAAGCCCAAACCCGCCCCAAACCCTTCAACGCCATTCAAGGCAAGTCGGGGTATTTCGCGACGGAAACGGAGTCGGAATTCCTGGCGCGCTACAAGAAGATGACGAGCCTGGAGAAATGGCAGCTCTGGTTGCAGTCCAATCGCTATGAGTCGATCATGGCTATCATCCTTTGCTTCAACGTACTATGGATGGCCTTGGATTTACAGTTCTTCGGGAGCATTGCCGGCTACAACCTTCAAGTATTCACAATGCCTGTGCCGCCAGAACAAGTACCAACATGGGAAAGTGTTTTGACGATCGGAGATCTTCTATTCACAGGTGTCTTCGTGCTTGATGTTCTCGTCCGCATTTGTGTGTTGCGGTCCAAGTTCTGGAAGCAATTCATGAACTATGTCGACGTCGCAGTAAGCGTTACAAACCTTGCCGAATTCGGCGTTCTCTATGCAACGACGCTGCCGGTGAATCCCATCCTGTTTCGGCTGCTGCGACTTGGTAAACTGGCAAGGGCCATCCGCATGATCAACATGACGAGCGTGCTAGGTTCTCTCCAGCTCTTGGTGAAGTGCCTTTGACAAAAGCTGAAAGTACAGGGGTTCCTGCCACGTTTGTTTCTGATGTGTTTGATGTGGAGGTTGCTTCAAGCTCGGACGTTCCGGAAGGCGTAGCGGCGTAGCAGTGTCAAGCACAATACGAACTAGTTAGGTCCAGCTGCATTGCATACATGCAGCCTAACAACGAAACCCTGAACCCTTAACCCCAAACCTAAAACTCAACCAGAAAACACCTTTACCTGAAACCCTGAGCCAATGAGGTGCCTTGCGTCCAGCAGCAACATGCTCTTCTGGAGTTTTTGCCTCCTAACCTTCGTGCAATGTGTTGCAGGGCTGATAGTGTCCACTCTTTGTCGAGACTTCTTCGAGGATGAGGCCTACGATGCTAGGGTTTTCCTTAGTAGTTTTCTGTTGTGGAGTTTAGGGTTTAGGGTTTTGTTCGGGGTATAGGGTAGGGCTTGTTGTTGCGAGTTTAGGCTGATGGTTTCTCTGTTAATGCTGAGGAACAGGACAAAGGATACCCTGGTTTAATGGGGATAGTGGGGAACCGAGGACGTCTCGCTCAGAGAAGCGGTCTTTCGATACTACGGAACGTTTACTCGCACCTTCTTGACGATGTTTGAGACTGGGCTTGGGAGTTTCCAAACTGTAATCCTTTTTGGGGACCTGTTACTCGAAGAGAACCACTATGAAATAGAGGTCTTGTAAGTTTTTCTCCGCGCATGTCGACGAAGCCCAGGAAATTTTATTCGCAAATTGGGGGCCTGCATGCAGGGTGCTGGTGGAGAACTTTAGTGACCTGTCTGGTTTATCTACATTTAGTGTGTTTTATTTCTGTCGGCTTGGTATTCACTAAACCCTAAACCTTAGGCCCCGAAACCCCATGCAGAGGCTTTCTTGTTCCGAACCTTGATGTGCGAGAAAGCAGGTGAATGGTTCTCCATCTTCTTCCTCTTTTACAGGCTGACCGACGAGTTGCTTTAGAGCAGGTTCATATGACTGTTGTGTAAAATGGAGGTCGGACTGCATAATAATGGTATCCCAGTGATAGTCAAAAGCCAGGTCCAATTGTTAAGGGCCCCAGTAGAGGATCGCCTGATGGATTTGCTCGACTGTCGCCCCTGGCAGCCGTCAGGTGTGTTTTGGGCTTCGCGGTGCTGAACGTCGTGAATGCTGTTCCTTTCTTTTTGGTATGAACTGATTTTTTTGTGTAAGATGTAAAGCACACGCGGAATCCACTAGCACACAGCTTTCTGGATGTCCATCGCCTGTCTGTTCGAGTGGGCAGCGCGGAGAGGAAGATACTCGGGTTAGGGCTGTGCCATGCTACACCCAGCCATGACCCGTAGGTTTGGGTATTATACTTTCAGGCCCCGTTTGCCCAGACTTTTCTCTAGTCATGCACAGCGAAGGTTTTCGTGCAGCAGACGATGAAAACCGCTGGGTCCGACGAAGAGTTGGCCTTTAAGCAAAAAGAGAAGGTCACCTGACGAGCAGTTATCCCTGAACCCTAAACCGAACTACGATCCAGAAGCCCACTGCGATTATCTTGTTCGGTTCATGGTTACCTTATAGTTATCACCACCGTTTTTGGTTTGAATACTCTATCGCCAATACTCATATAATGCTTGATCGTTGAAATCGACTTGTCATCGTTGGCTTCACCGACCCTAGGGGTGTGTATCTACTGGAGACCCGCGAGAATCATGTCAATTTTGCTTGCAGTCGGAGGATTTATCAAAATAAGGATTCGCTTCCAGATGCATTAGCAAGAGCGAAGGACTCTCCCCGGCCCCAGCACCCGGTACCCTAAACCCCTGAACCCCTAAACCTCCATTCCCCTAAGCCCCTAAACCCAAAATTCCCGCAGCCTGTGGTGTAGAGGAGCTCAGATCGGGGACACAACCCACTCACGTGTTGCTTTGAGTGTGTTCTGGAAGCACGCACTCACATGACCTGCTCAGGATGCGCAGATGTATACAAGGACAGGGTCGGGATGCAACGTTGAGGTGTTCTGTGCAGCACAGGGAACTTGGCTTCGGGGTCTTGGGATTTGCATGTAGGGCATCGGCAGCGGGTGTTGGGAACACTTTAAATCAGATGCATGCATCATACTGTCCGGCCGACATAGGTCGAAGACATGAGGGTTGTTGTCTTCTTGCCTTGCTGTTACGGTGTTTTGCTAGCCAGTCTTCTCATCTCATCTCGGGCCCCGGACCTAAACCCAGAGTCCCGAATCCTACAACCTAAACCCTGAACCCCATAAGTTTCGGGAGGAAAGTGAAGCGGCTCTTCCAAACGATCGATGACTCAGGCGACGGCACCCTCAACTTAGAGGACCGATATCCGCTGAGAGTATCTACTATAGGCCATAATGTATCCTAGACCCTATTCTCGTGGTTAACGCGTTTAAAGTAAGCTTTTGTGGGGGTTTAGGGTTAGGTTTCACGATTAGGGGTCCCGGTTTTAGGTTTTCTTGTTTTACGGACTCAGGCGTTAGGATGTAGGGTTTGCGGGGTCAGTGCACCAGTGGGTTGATGGATTCTTTTTGGGGATATGACCCTTCATTTCGAACCATTGCACCTCGGAGGTGCCGAACTCAAATAGGGGCTTAAATTATCACTATCATAGTTCGAGTATGAGGCACATGAGAACTGCTTAGGTCTTAAACGCTTGGGAGATTTCAATGTTCAACATGGTGGACTTGGGGTTTGCTATAGGGGCCTCAATAATTAGAATAGGTTACCTATAGGCTCTTTTGTAGTTCCTTTTTTTGGTTGACCGGTTTTATGGTTAGGGTTAGGGTCCTATAATAGAGATTTTTGTTAACCCCAAAAAGGAACTACAATGGAGACTATAGGTATTGGGTTATGTTATGCTATGAGCTAGAATACAATAAGGAATCCCCACAGTAGTGCTGGTAGTTCGGCCCCTACATTAAGGCCTCCTCCGAGCTTCTTGGGAGCCTTACCGTGGGTTAGTAGGGTATGGAGGAATGGGGTACAATTATAACTACTATTACTACCATATTACTATCATATTACTACCATATAACTACTATTACTACCATTCTTCCATTCCCTACTAACCAACAGTAAGGAGCGAGGCATGAGGCGCGCATGCAGGTTGTTCGGCATTCAGGAATCCGGCTCTGGGGCTGTAATGTAGGAGCCAGAAGTAGCAGTGCTATTGTGGAGGTTCCTTATACTACGCATAGCATACTCTTCCCCAACACCCCATTCAATCCATTATGTAAGGACCCTATAGCAGGTTTCTTGCTGCGGAATCGTTGCGTTGAGGGCACCCTGAGACTCGGAACTGTATGCTCCTACCCTGAAGCCATGAAATTTAAGACTTGATGGACGCCGACGGCTTCCAGCGACCTTTAGGGTTTCCAGGGTCCCCGCGTTGGGCCCAGGTTGTAGGGTTTCGCGTTCTGCAGATTGAGGGGGTTCAGTAAGTAGGGCAAATAGACGGTTTTGGGTTTAGGGTTCTGCAGATTGAGGGGGTTCAGTAAGTATTTAGGGCAACTTTAGGGTTTAGGGTTTTGCAGATTGAGGGGGTTCAGTAAGTATTTAGGGCCAATGCAGGGTTTCGGGTTCTGCAGATTGAGGGGGTTCAGCAAGTATTTAGGGCAACTTTAGGGTTTAGGGTTTTGCAGATTGAGGGGGTTCAGTAAGTATTTACCGCAAATTTAGGGTTTAGGGTTTAGGGTTCTGCAGATTGAGGGGGTTCAGTAAGTATTGAGGGCAAATGTAGGGTTCAGGGTTCTGCAGATTGAGGGGGTTCAGTAAGTATTTAGGGCGGCAAATTTCGGGTTTAGGGTTTACGGTTCTGCAGATTGAGGGGGTTCAGTAAGTATTCAGGGCAAATTTAGGGTTTAGTGTTCTGCAGATTGAGGGGGTTCAGTAAGTATTTAGGGCAAATTTAGGGTTTAGGGTTCTGCAGATTGAGGGGGTTCAGTAAGTATTTAGGGCAAATGTAGGGTCTAGGGTTCTGCAGATTGAGGGGGTTCAGTAATGATTCAGGGTTGAAGGACAGCGGTGGTCTTTGCTTTACGCATGCAGGAATTCTCCAAGCTCGTGCAGTCTCCAAAGTTGAAGCGGCTTTACTGCCTTGTCTTACCGTTGGTTAGTAGGGAATGGAAGAATGGTAGTTATAGTACTTATAATTGTGCCCCATTCCTCCATTCCCTACTAACCAACGGTAAGTTGTTGGGGTGTTGAGAAGACATGACTGTACTTGGAGGTTCGTGGGTAGATATAAGTGGAGTTATAAGTCGGGTAACCATAACTAGAGAAGTATAACCCATATTAGGGGACTTTAGGGGACTTGTATTTCGGCTTATAACTACCCATGCACTGCAAGTAGAGGCAGGAAGTTGCCGAGCCCGCCTGTTGAGCAAAGCCTGTCGTTGAACCCTAAACACCAAAACTACGAACACCAAACCCACCAACAAAAACTACAAACCCCAACCCCCACCCTCAAAAAAAAGCTACAAACCCCAACCCACCCCAAAAATATACAAACCCCAAACCCAAAGTCCTTTAAACCCCAAACCCCAGGATATGATAAGAGCCCCAACCCAACAGCCAAGCTCCAAGTCAAGTATCACTATTTTAATATAGGAGCCTGATTAAGAAACCTTGGGTCTTGATGAGGGTTCCTGATATGAGTCCCACTACATTGATTTTTGGGCCAGGGTTCCTTAAGCAGGTTCCTTCGTACATGACTTCTTACACCAGCTTACTCTGGGCCTTGGGTTTAGGGTTTAGGGTTTAGGGCCTTGGATGCTGGATCGTTTTCACCTTCCGGCCGGGAGGGAAGGCAAGGTAGCGTGAGTGTTTCGAAGCTTTGGAACCGAGTTTGGATCGTCGGTGGGGTTCAGCTGAACTGACTAGGTAATGCTTTTCGAAGTCGGCGGGAGAAGGAACAAGAAAGTGATTGCGATTTAGGCTTGAGGGTGTAGTGTATTCTCGTATCGAAAAATACATGTTTCTGATCAAATACTGAACTCCGAACTGGAAACTTTGAACTGTAAATCCCAGAACCCAAGCCCCGAAATCCAAACCGTTACAACCGAAACCACGAAATCCCGAGAGGGTCGTGGTTTGACATCCCCGAGGTTTTGGATGAGCCAGCTCGAGCTGGAATACCATGACCTTCTCAGCTTGTTCGAGCCACTCGCCGATAAAGAGACCCGGAAGTATCACCCTCGGGTAACATGGAGGTCTGAATAAATAGTGCGCGTATCCCCTGACAGTCCCTCTATAGATATCATGCTACTATAGCTTAGCTTGAAACCCGAGTCTAATTATGGAGGCTCTTTTTCATTCCATAGGAGCGTCAGGAGCATTATTGTTGTGCTTCTTATTGTTGCGCTTCAAACGGAGCAGGTCCTGGCCGGCGGTTTGATTCAAATTGTGCGCCCCCCCCCCCCCCCCCCCCCCCAAAAAAAAAAAAAAAAAAAATAATAATAATAAAATAACCTAAACCCTAAACCCCCCCCCCTAAACCCTAAACCCCCCCCTGAAGCCAAGCCCTTCAAACGTAACCCTTAAGCCCCAAACCAGGGAGTCTTGAGCACCCTGAACTCTGACATCACGGAAAGCCCCTGCAAATCCTAAACACTAAACCTCACAAGTACCAGAGCACAGGTTTTTGGACAACGGCGACGGGGAGATCACTTTGATGGAGTTCATCGAAGGCTTCGACTGAAGGGCGTCTTTCTGCACTTTGCACTTCCTTCTGCGGTTTAGGGTTTATGGTTCTAGATACTGTGGTACAGCGTCCGATTTGGTCCTTCAGCAGGATGTTATCCGGTGCAGGCATTTGACACGTGCCACCAAAATACGTTGCCTCAAACTCGTGAAGAAGCACTTCCAACCTTGGTTATTGTTGTTGATCATTCTGGGAAGTTGCCGAAGATGAGAAGCGCTAGATCACGATGTCCACAGAAACTCAACACCTTACCGTAGCATGGAAGTAAGTTACGGGTGTCAAACTTCTTTTGCCTCGTTGGGGGAGTTCGCGAAGCTGCCACTTCGGAATCCAAGACATGTGAGCGGCCGAAGCTCTACATCCTAAGCCCTACTTGGAGGACATAGTAAGTAACGTTATACGTACCTTAATTGGGGTTAAAACTAATGTAGTACTTTTAGCTACCGTTACTTAACCCTAATTCTTTTCTTTCCCCAACCTCATCCGGACATAAGTGAAGCGAGCTGTCAGGGGCCGCGCGGCTGCGCGGAGGTGCCAAAGCCTTGGATATCTGGCGGATCGAGACAAAGTTGGAGGTCGGGAAGGGGTTCTACAGTTCTACAAGGGTTGTAAAATTAAGGGTCTTTGATCTAAGGGGTTCTCTACTGTGGTACTGCCTTTAGCGTGGGGCCCCTCATCCCCAACCATTCTCCGGTGACCTAACAAAATGTTGCCTGACCCCGGCTCAAAATCCCGACCACACAGACTACGAGTAGTAGTAGTAGTAGTAGTAGTAGTAGTAGTAGTAGTAGTAGTAGTAGTAGTAGTAGTAGTAGTAGTAGTAGTCGTAGTAGTAGTAGTAGTAGTAGTAGTCGTAGTCGTAGTCGTAGTCGTAGTCGTAGTAGTAGTAGTAGTAGTAGTAGTAGTAGTAGTAGTAGTAGTAGTAGTAGTAGTAATAGTAGTAGTAGTAGTAGTAGTAGTAGTAGTAGTAGTAGTAGTAGTAGTAGTAGTAGTGGTAGTAGTAGTAGTAGTAGCAGCAGCGGCAGCAGTAGTAGTTGTTGCTGCTGGTGCTGCTGCTACTACTACTACTACTACCACTACTACTACTACTACTACTACTACTACTACTACTACTACTACTACTACTACTACTACTACTATTACTACTACTACTACTACTACTACTACTACTACTACTACTACTACTACTATGCTACTGCTACTGGTACTGCTATAGTGACCCTGCCACATTGAACCCTTTGAGACACGACAAGACCATGTTAAATCATAAACTACTTCTGACGCGGTGGTCGGCAGAGGTCATCTTTGCTGGCTTTAGGCGTAGTTCAGCTTGGTCTGAAGGTTTCGGGTTTATCCGTAGGGTGCAGGAGGAGCTTTGGTAATGTCGTCCCCCTGTCACATACTCCCCAAAGAAACATCGTCCAGGAAATTCGAGAGCCTCTCAAAGCCCGACTCTGAATGCCCCTATCAGACACGTTGTGAAGGTCCTGTTCGAGGAAGTGTTGAAGGCTCTCCACCACAGCTCCGGCAAAATTATGCCGCTCTCGGTGCAGGTCGCCGGACTTGAGAGAAGACTCAACCGCCTGGGGCACTTAACACCGACACCCGCGACCCTGAAGTTTGAAACCCTTAACACCACACCCGCAAACCATGAACCAGCAGAACAACTGTGCTACTGCGCTGCTATACTATTGCCACTGCTACTGCTACTTCTGCTGCTCTTGCCGCCGCCAGTTACTGCTATTGCGGTGCAGCTGCTAGATCTGCTGCTGCACCTGCTACTGCTACTGCTACTGCTACTGATGCCCCGACTGCTACTGCTACTGCTACTGCTGCGGCCAGAGCCACGGCCAGGGCCACGGCCACGGCCCCTGCGTCTGCGACTTCTACTGCTACGGCTACCGCTACCGCTACTGCTACTGCTGCTGCTGCACTACTGCTTTTACTACTCACTACTTCTGTGACTATACTACTACTACTACTACCACCACTACTACTACTCCTCCTGCTGCTGCTGCGGCTGCTACTACCACTGCTGCTGCTGCTGCTACTAGTCCTACTACTACTACTACTACTACTACTACTACTACTACTACTACTACTACTACTACTACTACTACTACTACTACTACTACTACTACTACTATAACCACTACTACTACTACTACTACTACTACTACTACTACTACTACTACTACTACTACTACTACTACTACTACTACTACTACTACTACTACTATAACTACTACTGCTACTACTACTACTACTGCTACTACTACTGCTGGCAGTGCTATTGAAGCAGAACTACATCAATTCGGATCTGTGGGATGAGAGTCCCCATGTGTCCCCGCTACACACGGCCGCAACCAAGGAAGTGTTCCAAAAATCAACGTGCCTCTGACCGCAGAAAGCGTCAATCTGCCTGATGGCTCAGCAAAGGTATTCAGGTGCAGGTTTAAGATAGGGTTTAGGGTTTAGGGTTCAGGTTTTAGGGTTTAGGTTTTAGGGATCCGTTGCTGTCCTTTTGCAGCAGCTATCAATACTTGAAACTTTCAACTAGTTCTTGTTGTTTTGCAAGCCGACAGCAGTGCATGTCTTTCGCCGCAGGCATGGCCCATGTTTGAACTGCTGTATGTGTGTGTGTGTGTGTGTGTGTCTCTCTCTCTCTCTATATATATATGCTCATATATATATATATATATATATATATATATATATATATATACAGTCTCTCTCTCTCTCTATATATATATATATATATATATATATATAGATGCATACATGCACGGATTGCACAGCATAGTCGGATGCATCAGTTTACTGGGTGGTATTCCGTTGTGGTAGATACAGATATAGATAGGTGCGTTAGTGGTTCGAGCTGCTGGTATCGTTATATAGGTGTCAATATCGCGATGAGTGAGTGCATCTGTTCTTCATTTCGAGACTCCATGCGAGCTTCTCCACTTCCCAGTTCCCTGCGCCAAGGTTCCGGCACATCAAGACAACAAAGATTGACGCCGAAGAGCGTGAGGAAGAAACAAAAAGCGAAGACAAAGCGGAAACTTCAAGGCAATCGAAGGTTTCGAGTGTTCTTTGAGCCTTGGCTGGAGTTAGTGCGCAGGATGCAGAGACCCACAGCCACATGATTTACTTAACTTATCCCCTGAAGCGCAAGGCATAAAACCTCACATCCTGCATGAGCCCTGACATGAAATCTCCCTAAACCCTGAACCCTAAACCCTGAACCCTAAACCCTAAACCCTAAATCCTAAACCCTGAACCCTGAACCCTAAACCCTACACCCTAAACCCTGAACCCTAAACGCTGAACCCTAAACCCTAAACCCTGAACCCTAAACCCTGAACCCTGAACCCTAAACCCTAACACAGCCCGCCAGCCGAGGAGAGACAGGGCGCTTGGCCTCCCGGATTACGCAGCCCGTCGGCGGGTAGGTCCTGGCAGTTGGGATCCAGGCTTGCGGGTTCGGGTTTTTAAAGTTGAGGGCTTACGGTTTAGGGTTTAGGGTTTAGGGGTTTAGGGCTTAGGGTTTAGGGTTTAGGGGTTTAGGGGTTTAGGGGTTTAGGGCTTAGGGTTTAGGGTTTAGGGGTTTAGGGATTTAGGGGTTTAGGGGCTTAGGGCTTAGGGTTCAGAAGCGAAGTAAGTACCAGTCAGCTCCTGCTGGCATGCATCGTCTCGTACTTGAGCGGATGCTCATGACTTTCATAGAGGCTTTCAGGGGATCCTCAAGGGTTCTTTTAAGGGATCGATAAGGGATCGGGCTTACTATAGGGGCCTAAAACATTACCTGCACTATTTTGGGTTTTTTTATATTATCATTCTGATATCATGGGCCCCGAAACCCGATTCTAATTCTTAAGGCCTCTAGAGTAGGGCTTGAGGTTTTGAGTTTGGGTTTAGGGTTTGGCCATTGAGTTTGTGGCAATCTGAGGCAAGCTGCATCAACAGGATAGCGGAGTCGCGGGCGGCATTGATAATAGTGATGGGCAGGCAGAAGCTAATTCTGCTTTAGTTCCACGAATCGGAGTATCAGCCAGCTGCACAAAGTGTTTGCTGCGCAATTTTCTCGCTTCCAGGGCAACGGAACATCTTGCAACTGGAAGGGTGCATCCACTCACTTGGTTTCATCTTCTTAGCCTTAAGCCTGACCTCAATTCGCGCAACGTGGGGGGTAGTGTTCTGAGTTCCTGTCCCCGTATTCTCCTTGCGATGAGATCAGTGTATCCTACTAGCGGGCTCGAACGTAGAGGACTCGTCATGTTTGTCAATATACCCAAACTTGGGCACAAGTATTTGAGGGGCCCGAATCATGACCTGTACCCAGTCCTTAGGGTTCCTTGCTATATTCTATAGTTCTACTATGATATACCCTATTCAAACAACATTAAGGCCGCTGCCTATTCTGCTCCCCGATCATGTGTTTTTTATCGGGAAACCACGAAAATCACTTCCGAGACACCCTACTAAACCCTAAACCCTAAACCCCTAAATCCTAAACCACACACGAAGCTCCTACAGCCTAAGCCCGAGTCTTCCAACTTATCGGACTGGGCCTGGGCCTGTAATTGGGCTGCTTCTTTGCATCCTGGGCTTCGGAGCTGTGTGGGGTAGATGTCGAGAATTTGGGGCTTTAGGCTTTTAGGGTTTGGGACAGGATACGGCAATGGCGTTGGGCTTTCGGGTTCCAGGGTGTTGGCAGCTGGGTGGGGGTGTTGAAACTTCCCGAGCCACCCTAAACCCCTGCACCGGAATATATATATATATATATATATATGTGTGTGTGTGTGTGTGTAAAGCAATAGCGTTCCCTTGAAGCAGGTGTATGTGTATACAGTGTACCATATCCCAAATCCTATTCACAATACGTTGGCCCCTACATCAATTTATGCCTTCTATCAGGGCTTTCGGAAGCAGGGTTTAGGCATAGTAGGGAACCTGCATGAAGCACGTGTAGAACCTTCAGTCGAGTTTGCAGAGCTTCGAGTGGGAGCATCGTGCGGCACGCTTTCCGTTCGTGCCTCAACGCCACCTTGATAAGCAATCATCTAAACCCCAAGCCCTAAACCCTAAACCCTAAAACCCTAAACCCTAAATCACACTAAACCCTAAACCCTAAAACCCTAAACCCTAAACCCTAATCGAAAATTATACATGGGGACTGACTGTGAGCCCCTGACATAGGGGTCTTTACAATAGGGATCAATTGCTCGGGCCCCTTCATTCCATGAAGCTCCTGTTGCCTGATCCTTTTAGTCCACGCGGATCCTGAAGCCGCAAACCCCTAAACCCTACCCAGAGAGCCCAATACCCCTTAATTAAGGAATATGGCTTAAATTATATAGGGCTTCATATTATGATTTAAGCCATATTCCTTAATTAAGGAGTATTGGGCTCTCTGGGTAAACCTCAACAGGAAAGCCTGAAGGTCCGGCCGGTAAGCAACATGCGGCTTGGCCCGTCCAGGTGCAAGTACGGCATTCCTAGCTGTGAAGCATTGAGGCATGTTCCGAAAGATTGTTCGTCGTTTCGCCGCCATCCAGATTGCTAAAGCCATCCGGATGGTATATAGAGCAGGTAGTGACCCGCAGAGTAGCCGAGGTTCTAAACCCGAGTTCTCCTAGCACTCGATTAGTCACGTCCTAAACCCTAAACCCTAACATCTACATTCTAAACCCTAGACCCTAAACCCTGCTCTTATGAATCTTCGTAGCACGTCACGATTTCAGGCCCGGCTCGTTTTGCGAAGCATGCGAGCAGAAAACCGAAGGCCAGAGCGCATAAAGTCCGAGGCTCTGAAGGGCCACGATTTAGGGTTCGAGGGTGTTAGGGTTTAGCAACTATACCAGCACTGCTGCTCTTCCCTGCTGCTGTTGCTGCATCTTCTTACTAATTACCCCTCCTCCTCCTCCTCCTCCTCCTCCTCCTCCTCCGAGTCACCTAGTCGCAATGACAGAGACAGTAGCTGCGAGCGATGGCATGTGTAACAACTGTAACGACCAAGCTGGTGCGCAAAAGCAGTCTCGTCCGGCGGCCGGAACAAGCTACCATAATTCTCTTATAAGATCCATTTCGGGGCTTTTTTCATAACTATCTACTTATGTATAGGATCCTTATTCAAAACTGAAAGAACCTAAAGAATTATACCATGTAGCGCAGGCTCAAGTCAGCAAGCGACCAGGGTACTGGCAAACAACTCCCCTGCATTTCACTCTTAAGGACCGTACCTGCCAAGCAGCTTCGCCAAGAAACTCACAAGTTTTCTTGAGTTCAGGCGTCTTTTGGGTTTAGGGTCTCGGGTTTAGGGAATCTAGAGCAACCTCCGGCTTCCGTCACGACCCCTCCAACTCTTCCAGTGCACGATGGCGCGGGCCGTACCCTTTCCGACTGGTGGCTGGACGCCTGATGACGACAGGGAGGTTGGCGTGGCTTGGAATTCTGATCCGCCGGATGGTCCGAAGTGGGTTTCACCGGAGTCCTCTCGAAGCGCTCGATGTCGACCATGTGGATACATACATGTGCCAACTTATGCACATCCCTGTCTGTGCATGTCTACATGTGTGCGATGCAGGGCAGGCATATGGATGATGCATGATGAATCATGTCTGTCTGTCTGTCTGGATGGCTGGCTGTCCATCCGTCCATCTATCCGTCTGTCTGTGTGTGCTTGTTTCTGTACATACACGGCACAGGTTGTGTGTGTGTGTGTGTGCGCGTGTGTGCGCTCGTGTATGTGTGTATGCCTATTTACGAACACTATGAGTACTGTCTATCTGACTGCCCATCCGTCTATGTATCCATCTGGTGTCTGGTGCTACATCGCCGGTGGCTTGTTGATCATTTACATCAAAAGATTCAACTTGATTCGGTAGGCTGCTACACGGGGAATCGCAGAAGTGACGCCCGATAGCATACCCGAACCAATAGGATCAACATAAGGAAAACAGGACCCCTAATTGTCCGCAAGAAGCATATATACATGCCTGTATGAGTATGGTATAGGAATGATGGGTTAGGTGTTTTTGCGTTGTAGAGGACACCCGAAGCAATCAACATCTTAACTAGCCCGGGAAACTTCGCATTACATGCTGGCACGTAAGTAAACATGATACAACCGTACTGCTATTGCTGTGACCACTAGACTACAGCAGTGGTAATACCTGTGGTAATGGTAGTGGTGGTGGTGGTAGTGGTAGTGGTGGTAGTGGCGGTGGCAGTGGTAGTGGTGGCGGTGGCAGTGACAGTGTCCTAGTTATAGCTACCATTGTCATTATTCTTAATGCCACTTGCTGTTATTGTCGTTAGTCGATTACGGATGTGATTTTGATATTAGTTGTTTTGTTGTAGTCGCACCGTTGTTAAATTCGAAGATGATGCATACCGTTACATATATTGAGCGTGGGTATGGCTTCTGACACGAAGCCTTTGCCTGCGTGAAAAATGCTTCACTAAAATTCATGTCACCCATGCTTGCTCCCATTACAAGCACCTAAACCGCAGATGCCATAGATCCAACCAACACGTGGTCGGAAAAGTCGTAAGGAAAATAGTTGTGGCCCAGGTGGTGCCGCCCTGGGATGATGTGCGCCTGGAAACCGATCCCAGCGGAACTGGTCCGTTGCAAACTGGTGATCTGAACGGGGTGACTTGGCTTAAGGGTTTGGGGTTTCGGATGCAGCATTGGGCGTAGGATGCAGGGTCCTTCAGGATCGGGGCCTACACCGTAGCCACGTGAAAGTGTTGCCAACATGCGCGGTGTCACATGAAGACTACTACTCTCACGGTTCCAAGAAGCTGCAGCTGATGCTCAATTACTCGGACGGTTATGCACGCACATCACGCTTCAAGTCGTAGTAGCTCTTGGACGAGTTGCACCTATGTTTTCCTTTGAAGGCGACTTTGAATGTATGCAGAGTGCTTGCTCCGTAGCACATGGATGGTAGAGGTGCGTTTATACATGGTCATAGCGTACACGGACGTGCACATAATCTTGTATAGTCTAAATACACAAGCAAAACTCTCTCTCTCTATTCCTATATATATATATATATATATATATATTTCTATACATGTGTACAGGATGCATCTGTATGTCTGTGTATATGCATATGTCAGAATACATATATATATATATATATATAGAGAGACATATAATATACACACATCTATCTATATATATATATATACATACACACATACACATACAGTTATACACCGAGTACCACATCTGGATCTAAGAATGGTTGCAGACCTAAGTACGAATAAAGTTATAAGCATAATTCGGAATTTACATAGAAAAAAGTATATACGAACATCATTGAAGATTCATGGGAAGGCCTCGCAGATGATGTTGTTTCACTTGTAAACTAGCTGCTCGACCCTTCTTTTCAACATCTCCCATGTCGTTTAGCTGTAGCTGGGGTCTGCCGTTGAGGATGGCTGACAACAAGACGTTAAGGATGTGGGATTTGGGGTTTGTTTCAGGGTGGGCTTTCGGTCAAGGGGTTGCAAGTTGTGGCGATCTGCCGAATTTGGTAAGCTGCAGACAATGCATGCGTTCAACAAACGGCAACCCTAAACAAGACAGCCCGAACCTGTCCCACAAACTCGAGGCCGTCCCAAGCCTTCAGCCCCAAACCGCACATGCCCCAAGCCCCAAGCCTAATCTAGAAGCAGAGCTTTGTTGTTGTCACACGATCACCTGCGAGCATTCTGTTTAGGCGTCGAAGGTTGAGTTCAAGGACCGTCAGCTTGAAACTAAACCTGAAACTCTACATCTGAAAACATTAATTAATTAACACTAACATTTGACCTCAGCGCAATTTGAGGCGATTCGTTTGACACAAGAAATTGAAATACATCCCCTTAAACCCCAAACCGATCCCACCGCCTTGGGTCGCAAAGAGCCGCCAGGCAGCGGATAACAGCCAAGCCTCTAGGGCTTTCATGGCCCTCATTGACCAGCTTGTGCAGCAGCTTGACTGACCGAGGATACATGGTTGTGTAGATGTACGCGCATATGCTGTACGTGTATGTTAGACACACATGCAGTGTACATTTATTTATTGGTTTGTTTGTCTCTGTGTGTTAGTCAACGTTTGGCCAATATGCTGAATTCCCAAGAAAAGACATGAATAGATGGATGGGCAAATAGATAAACAGGTCGATTTTCAAGCGAAGCCCTAAACCCTAAATCTCTAAAGCCTGAACCTTGAACCCTAAAGTCACGCGCAAATGGGAAGGAGGGAGGGCTCGAAGGGTTCGGATAATGAGCACGACGCTCCGTGAGAGGAGAGGTCCTTGTTTCATAGGCAACACTACCTATAACATCACCATCGGTATTTGGGATTCTTAGGGTTTTGCGTGTAGGGCTTGGGGGTTTACGGATTTCGGCGTTTAGCGCTGAGGTTTCGGGGGTAATCAGTCGGTTTGGGTTTCGGGTAGCAGGTGGAGGGGCTCTCCATGCTGAAGCAGCATTGTAATCATCGTCGCCCACCCCCCCATGTGGAAGCAATCGGGACTTCGAGGGATGCTTTGAGCCCTCAACCCTCATCCCAAACCCCTGAATTAGGCGCAAACCTCAAACCCTAAACCATGCCAAAGCATCCTAAGATCAAACTCCTAACAGCCACAGACCCCAAATTAATGAATTCCTGGACCATTCTGCGGAGCTCGAAGCACGAAACTGACAGAGGCTCAGCGAGGACCGTAGAATAGAGGCTTCACTACTTAGGCCTAGAGGGTTGGAGTGGGATCGAAAAGGAGGTCGACTCTTGAGGTTTGATGAAGGGTATGAAGCTCCCGTCAACTCAGCTACTGGAGCATACAGCATGAGTGTACCTATATCTGTGAGAAGATAGACATATGCAAGCATCTAAACATCGAGCCCCAGCCTTTTTGGTTAAATTCACCTGAGTATTGAAACACAACCTGGAGCCACGAATCGATGTTTGAGCCCGTATGCCTCGAGGCAACACAGCCGGGAAGTTGCGGGTGCTATGGCAGGGAACAGCTCACATCAGCAGCAACAGGCACCGGGAGAGCTTCACAGCAACAGCCTGGAAACTTAGAGTCTAGGGCTTTGGATTTAGGGTTCATGGGTTTAGGATTTTTTTGTGAGGCTGTTGGGAATGCCGCATGCAGCAGGGTTTAGGATCCAGGGTTTCGGGTTTATTCTGCTTGAGAGGTATATAAATATATGATGCAGGGCTGCCACACCCCCCCTTCCCCCCCCCACCCCATGGTATCCTCCCCCCCTTCCCCCCCGCCCCCCTGTGTTGTGGGGCCTGGGGTGGTACTCTTTTTGCAGCGACGTTCTTATGTGTTACTCCTTGTCTTCCCTCTTGCTGTGGCACCGGTGATACTGCTCATGATTTTGTGCTGCTCTAGACCGGGACATGAGTCGACAATCAGACCACGCTCAACATCATCCTTGTCGTCGTCATCTTCATCATTAATACCTTCAAAAGAATATCTGCCACCATTACTATCGCCATACACCCTCATAATTCAGCATTGCAATTCATGTCAGATGCTGGAAACTACTGCGCCGATTGCCGCTTTCCACACACGGCAAGGGCATAGTGCGACACTCCCGATCCGCGCACAAGGTCCAGGGGCGGGCAAGGTGCAGGCCGGGGGCGGGCCGGGGCGGGCAGGGGTGGGCGTGCAGCAGCAGGGCAGCGGGGGACTGGGGGGGGATACCATTGGGGGGGGGGGGGTGGCGGCCCGGGACCCGAGAGCATATATGTTTACTCTTGGCAGTTGCAGAGTTCTGCTGCAGTTTCATGTTCTGTCTCTCAGTCGTTTTCCTCCAGAGCAGCACTTATTCGGGAGGTAGTTGATCCCTGTGTACCGGCAGATGAGGGTGCAACCGCGAGCCTTGCATCCCGAATCTAAGCCAACTTGCTGGGTTCTTGTTAAGGAACTTGGTACTTAAAGTTACCATAGCAAGGAAACCCTATCATTTACCATAGATCCCTAGTATGGTAACTGAAATGTAATCCTTTAACAAGCACCCAGCCTGGCACAGGTATCTCTGAAGGTGCCAGAGACGGAGCATCGGCGCGTCAGAAAAGAGTACAGTAGTGGCTCGATCTTTCTTGAGCTCAGGGCTTCCATTCTTGCAGTGCGTCTTAGGGTTTTAGCATAGGGGCCTTAATAGTTGCCTACACTATCTTGGGGGTTCCCTAGTATAGTTATAGTATAAGTTTTAGGGTCGAGGGTTTCGGGTCTAGCTCCAGAAGTTGGACTCCGAAACTTCTGTTTGCAAGGTTCCGACACAGAATCCGGGAAGCCTCATCACAAGCACATCAATGCCAATCAGCTGCTACATGCCTTGAGCAGCGCAGCTTGGATGATAAGCCGCGGTGTCTCCTTGTTGATGCGCTCCTATCACTGAATGTGTCTAGGCAGTAGGCAGGTTGTCAGGGCGACAGCATTTCTGATTTTGCTCCCTTTGTACCTGAGGAGGATGATGTTCGGCTGGGTGCCTACATGGTGGCTGCCTATGACGACGATGATGACCTGGACCTTCTCATGAAGCCTCAGGAGACGGAATCCGAGCATCGGGCTCGTCTGAGCAAGATGACGAGGCTGCATGTTTTGAAACAGTGAAGCCACTAAGCCACACACGAGACCACATGTCCATATCAAGAAGCGATTAACGTCTATCCGGATGCGAGATCCTAAATCCTAAATCGCGAGCCTAAATGCGAGAGGCTGGAGAGGATAGCGGACTGGTTCGAGTCAGCTCAATATGAGATGCTGATCGCCGCCGTGCTCTGTCGCTTGCTTTAACTGGACAAGGAACATATGACATTGCTTCAGCGACAACACAGCAGACGCTAGTGATGGTTATGATGGAGATAGTGATGATGATGGTGATGATGATGAACATGAGGAATCAGTGTTAATGACGTTAATGACAGCGAGTCGTCCAGGCACATTCCCTGCAACCGCAAAGCTGTCAAGGATCATCATGACCACATCACACAATTTGTTCGAACTGGTACTACTGAGCCCGTAAGCCCTGAACCCCAAACTCCCACAGCTAGTGTCAACACTCAGGGCCCGACTATCATGCATCAGCATGGTACTGGTGGTTTAGCACTGGCCTTTGCAAGCAAACTCGTATTGCGGATGCACGTACCAGCGGTCGTGGTGGAAATAGCTGTCACGGTGTTTATGTCAAGATGCTCCTCTTTGTCACAGGTAGTTTTCACACACCTTACGCAGCACTCGGATTGACGCAGCTGGATATCAGCGCATAGGTTCGTGTCGGCTGACGTGGGCATTCCCGTCACTTGGGTCATCACCGCCCCCGCCATCACTAGTCTCCCACTCATGAAGCTTAATACCGCTCACCATTGCCATGATGGGTCTGTCTCGGTACCACTTGAAAACGAGGAATGACTTTCACAGTTTTGTGTTCAACAGTTTTCGGTCGGGATTTCGGCGGGCTTTCAAAAGCAGGTCTGATTAATATAGGGGCCTCAATAGAATAGGGTTTGGGGGCGTATTATACTATACTGAAAAATAAGAAGCCCCCAAAATAGTATTGCTAAGTGCTTAGGCCCTAGATTACTCCCGCTCGCAGTGCTACATGGAGGTTCATGGGTTATAAGTGGAGTTATAAGTAGGGTAACTAACTAGAACCCCTTCTAAGGGACACATACAACCCCAGCTATAACTACCTACGAACCGTCGAAGTATCCCAGGGTATAGCTCTTCCCATACAGTGAACCTCCCTGCGTTCAGAGTTTGGGGCTGTTGGGGACCCTAAGGCTCTGGGTTCAATATAGGGGCCTAAATTTTTCCTTGTTACAACTATCGTCCTAAATCCGAAACCCTAAATCCTAGACCCCAAAACCTTACACCTTAAATCCTAAACGCTATTCTTATTGTTAAGGGCCCGTTTTGGTTTCGAGTCGCAGATCCCGCTCCTCAACTGTCGGCACACGCCGCACCGTGAAGCCTGAAGTTCAAAACATCCTGGCTAAGGGCTTTTAGGGGTTTAGGGGTTTAGGGGTTTAGGGGTTTAGGGTTTAGGGGTTTAGGGGAATAGGGGTTTACGGGTTTAGGGGTTTAGGGGTTTAGGGCTTAGGGGTTTAGGGTTTAGGGGTTCAGGGTTTAGGGGTTCAGGGTTTAGGGCGGCGCCCGAAACCATTGAAGAGTCAGCTAACACCCCTCCTGAACTTACACGCCTACACACCCCTAAACCCTAAACCCTCTCTAAACCCTAAACCCTCCCTAAACCCTAAGCTCTCCCTAAACCCTAAACCCTGAAGCCCAAAATCCAGGCTTCAATGTCCTGTGGATGGCCCTGGAGGCTCAGGTCGGACATATTGGGTTGGTTTAGAGTTTTGGGTTTCAGAAAACAGGGGCCGTAATAATGACCAATGCTATTTGGGAGGTTCCTGATAATAACTATACTATCATGGGCTCCAAAACCCTATTCTACTTGTTCAGGCCCTTTATCATACACTTATACTAACCCTGAACGTTGAACTAGGTCTGGGGCGAAGGTTTGAGCTAGGGTTAGGCTTGGCTGAAGCTCACACTTTTTTTTGTAGACTTTTCAGCCTTGATGTTTAGCCTTCAGGATCTAGGGCCATCTAGGGTTTCGGGAGCTACATTGGGTTCAACGAGATTGCTCGTGGATCCTGCCAAAGAGGTTTTCTGGAATGGGTTGTACGGTTTAAATCCTAGATCGTAGATGCTCTCACAAGCTTTGGTAGTCTGGAGCCGAATAGATCTCCCTAAACCCTAAACCGAGGGTTCAAAAAAAGGCCCTGAACCGCAAAGGGTTTCTGATGTAGGTTGGGCCTAGGTGTGAGGGTGGGGGCGTGAGTTTCCGGATCTACAGTAGCATGACGGCTTATGGTCATGCTTCGGCTTCGGGGCATCATAGGGTTTGGGCATGTGGTGGTCAGGGTTGTCCTGACGATTTGCAGCCAGTCTGAGAGCGTATGCAGGTGGACGGCTACCGTTCCGGCCACACCATCGGTGTTTTTCAGACCGTGGTGGTGTCTGATGAAACCTGGGCAGTGTGGGAGATCGTGTTTGCGTGCCTGGATGTTGAAAACAGAATTCAGTAGTTTCGTCTGGGTTATAGGTCAAGCAGGTTCTAAGTTACCCTAACTCTTTTGGTTGAGCCACATGAGTTTTGACCGAGCTAACTCACAGTCAACCTTCGAGAACTGCTGCCACAGGGGAAGGGAAGGACGGGCATCCTACGGCCTGCTCAGATCGGCTAGGGGTTGTGTGTTAGAAACTGAAACAGAAACACGGCTTACCACAGTGAGAGCCGAGGATCGGTGACTTCACCTTCACCGCCTTTTTCGTGCTGGATGTTCTCGTGCGAATAGCGATTTTACGATGCAAGTTCTGGAAGGTGCCAATGAACTACATTGACGTTGCCGTGTCTGGGACATCACTCTTGGAGATAGTCCTGTTCTACGCCACGAGTGCCAATTTGGCGGTAAATCCGATCCTTTTCCGACTGTTGCGTATCGGGAAACTGGCTAGAGCAATTCGCATGATTACTATGAACAGCGTGCTGGCTTCCTTGCATCTGCTTATTCGTTGCCTGGCAGCCAGTACGAATATCTTGTTCTGGACGTTTTGCTTGATCGCCTTCTTTCAATGCGTTTCGGGAATGGTTGCCAACACACTTTGCCGGGACTTCATCAACGACGAAAGCCAGTCGTTGCAAGTGCGCGAAGATGTGTTTCGATACTATGGCCGCTCAGCTTGTCACAAGGTTTGTAATCATGCTCACTCAAGTTCCTTCCTTTCCGTCATAGAGATCTCCTGATGGTTAGATTTGTTCCTCTTGGCCACCTCAGCGCCATGTCATGCTGAGGAACTTTCAGCCGGACTTTCCTGTCGATGTTTGAACTGTTATTTGCCAACTGGAGCCCGCCGTGCCGAGTGCTGGTCGAGCAGCTCTGCCTGATACAGCAAGCTCTGACTTCAATCCTTGGGCTCTGCAATTTCTCGTCGACCCTGAACCGATCAGTGAGAATAACACAAGCAGTGTTGCTATTTAGGAGTCATAGTAGTAAGAATGAGACCCAATCCCTAAACTCCTCTTGAGCATAGTTTTCGAGTTGCACCCGCCAGGAACATCAGCGAGTGGTTTTCGGTCTATTTCCTTCTGTACAGGCGCGACGGGAGGGAGCACAAGGGTACTCAAGTGGTGCACAGCAAAACCAGTAGCAGCGGCAACAACAGCGGCGCCAATCATAGCAACAGCAGCAACAACAATGGCAAAAACCAACGACGGAACAAATGCAGCACAACCGCCACCACCACCAGCCACAACCACGCCGCCGCCACAAGAACAGCGGCAACAGCCGCCTCAATGCCAGCAACAGCTGCAGCAACGACAGTAAGAATGCCAAAATTGCCACATAGACGCCAGTGGCAGCAACAACAGCTCAGCGCAACAGCACCACCGTTGCAGCGGCCTATGGCTCCAGAGCAGACTGATGCTCGTAGCTTTCTTCCCGCGATCTTTATCTCGAACACATCACAGCTGGTACAGTCTATCCAAACCTACAATGACCTGCGAAACCTTGAACCCTTTCCCTCGTCTCCTGTCGAATAGCGTGCGGGAAATGGACGCAGACCATTGTTGCAATGTTACGATAGAAATTGGTGACAGAGTGACAGAGCACTAGAGGATAATTTTCCTCCCTGCTGGTGCTGCGACTTGGGTCGCTGATATTGCTGGTGATGGATGCATTTTCCGCTGCTAGCAGGTAGCTTTCCATCCAGATATTGTTGCCATCGTCATGGTCATGACTTGTACATAGTGTCTCTACCATTCAGTCAACTGTGTTGCGGAAGGACCGTCGCCAAAGCTTACAACTAAAGCATTCATGGAGGTTTTCGATGGGATTGGTTGGTATACCTGGCCTGGGTTCCCTCCAGGTGTGTTCTTGGATACGCAGTGCTCAATGTGGTCTCTGCGGTCTTCGTACAGCAGACAATGAAAACGGCCAGCTCCGACGAAGAGCTTGCATTCAAGCAGAAGGAGAGGGCAGCTCGGCCAAGACTTTGTTTGATACATAAAGAAATAGGCATACAAATGAATATACATACATAAATAAGTACATATATGTACATATTATACATGCACGCACACACATATCTCTCAGGCTCTACATATATACACATACACACATGTATCTGTGTGTGTGTGTTTATTCAATCTCGATTTACTTATGAATCTTATTTGTGTTTTGTATGTGTATATTAAGATACACAGCTAGGTAGATTGATGGATAGATAGAGATAGAGATGTAGATAGGTATAGATATGGATATACATATTAGCTTGTGTTGTATGTATGGTATGTATGGTATGTATGCAAGTACGTACGTATGTATGTATGCATGGATGGCAGGATGTATGCATATATGCAAAATGTGCACACACACACACATACAGAGTGTACAATTCAGGTACCGCTAGATTCAGTTGTGAGTTCGCAGTTCTGGTCACGGGCAGGAGTTTGGGTTTCTTAGCAGGCTCAGAGAGGCTCTGCATTTGCAAGAGCGGAGCTTGCTTCAGTCCTACTCCTCTCGGCCACGGTGCAGGGCTTGGGGCTGAGGGTCTTAGGTGAGCTGTCTTTAGACTCGTCCCATGTCACGCTCCCTGCAGAGAGTGCTAATCGAACCGCAGCATGTCAAGATGGTCGTCACAGCTAGTCTACAGGCTCTTTTGACCCACCGTCCCCTCATCCGCTGCCCTTCTTTGTGCTTGACCGCCACGCCGAGGACATTGCCATGTATACGAGGAAAGTGAGGAGATTGTTCCAGACGATGGATGTATCGGGGGATGGAGTCATCAACTACGAAGAGTTCTCGAAGCTCGTCAAATCCCCGATGTTGAAGTTGCCTGGCTGTTTAAGCTGGGTTCTTTTTACTAACTTAACGCAAGCTGGCAAGACAAGCAGACTGCCTGATTTACAGTATGTTCTTGTCATGGTAACCTGCAGAATTGACCTCGTGGCATGCGGATCAAAGTTTGATTACTGCTCCCAGAATGAACCCTGCCAGAACCCCTGCAGTTTTCCAATTTTTTTGGTACTAAAACCCAGCCTTTTAACCCGACATACACTTCTTGCGAAGGTTTTGGATGAGCCAGTTGGAGCTAGAATACCACGATCTCATGTCCTTGTTCGAGTTGCTTGGCTGCGGTCTCACAGGGTTCAGGTGGTCGGAGCGGGAAGCGATTGGGGCTGTGGAAGCAGATTTGGATTTTTGCAGCTCTAACCCTAAACCCAAAACTCCTAAACCCGAAGTAAACCCTCGGAGGCACGGTGGGTAACAGCCGCCTGTCCTAACAACAGACCCCGAGCCACCACATGCTGCAACCACCTGCAACACCAAAGGAATGGCCAGAGAAGAAACATGTTTTGCGTTACTGTACAGTATATTATACTGTGTGCTATAGTATAGTATAGTATAGTTGGGAGGATTTTTCGGTTGTATCGTAGTGTAGCTACAGTCCAGACCTTTGATCAAGCCGGACTGTTCTTGGCAGCCTGTTCCTGGAAAGCATATTAGGGTACGTCGTTGCATCCCTTTAATGTCTGCAGAAGGCGGTTGGAGGAGACTCAGCACTGCCAAGGCCTGAGCCGGAGGCCCCGGGAAGCACATGAAGGCGCTAAGAGTTCGCAAGCCTCCGCGCGCTACGCAAGTGACCAGTGAACCTCCAAGCCCAAGCCCTGAACTCTGACCCCTGAACCCCCCCCCCCCCTCCCCACCGACGCCTACGTCCGACTGAAGGGTTTAGCGCCGTTTAGGGTTTAAGGTTAAGCTCAAGCCCTCTAATAAGCCTTAAGCCCCCAGTTCGATACTCGAAACTCTCAACCCGACTTCCTGAGCCCAACATCTGGGCCCAGGTTCTTGGATAACGGCGATGGTGAGATTACGCTTAGGGAGTTCATCGAAGGCTCGACAGCCGAAAGACCCACAGAAGGTTGCAGTGAAATTTGGAACCATAAAGTTTTTGTTTTCTTGCGTTGATGTTTATAAGGTGCACAGGCTTATGAGCTGTTTATGGGTCATTTTTTGGGGCGAACCTTAACACGAAGCCCCAAGCCCTACACCCTCAAACCTCCAAGCCCTAAACCCTCCGAACCCAAGAACACCAAACACAGTCCAAGTCCCCCCGGGCGTATTCCCAAACTCCCCAGCCGCAACTCTCGCAGGCCGTAAATCCTGCATTGCAGCCTCAGGTTCAGAGTTCACGGCACAGGGTTTCTGAGTTAAGGGAGCCGAGAGTGTTTAGGGTTTAGATGGGTTTAGGGTTAGGGTTTGCTTCAGGCAAAGGCTTTAATTTAGGCAGCTACATACCCCCACCATATTACACATGTCTTTCTCAGCCCTTTAAGGGTACCAGAAGGGTTCTCTGAGCTATACTGAACTTAGAACCATAATTTTAGCTGCTTCTTAGGGATTATAATAACCAATAGCCAAGAATTATTTCTAAGTACCCCTAAGTAAGTACAGGAGCGGCACGGCTCCGTGGTGGAGCCAAGGCGCTAGACATCTGGCGCATCGAGACCAAGGCTCCCCTGCCCTCTTCCTAAGCCCCAAACCCCTCAACCCCAAACCCTGAACCCCAAACCCCTGGACCCCTAAACCCCCAAACCCCTAAACCCTTAAACCCCTAAACCCCTAAACCCCTAAACCCTTAAACCCCTAAACCCCTAAACCCCTCAACCCCTCAACCCAATCCCTTAACCCTAAACGCCAGGAGCGTCAGGGTTTCGCGGCTTGGGGTTTGAGGCTTCTGGGGGCGTCAGGGCTTTAGTTCGGGCATGCTTTGTGGCTTAGGGTTCAGTTCAGGGTTTAGGGTTTAGGGTTTAGGGGGTGTTCAGGGTCTAGGTTGTAGGAAGATCCGAGCTGAGGGTCTTGGCTTTATGAGGCTTTGGCGTGGGTGTTGCTGTCAAGATTCTGGGAGTGGGGTTTTTGAGCGAATTTTGAGGGTGTCAGCAGGGGACTGAACAAGTCCCAAACCCAAAATCTACGCCCAGGTCGCTTTTTTGGAAGCTTGGGCCACTGAGGGTTTTTTTTACGGGTCTGCAGAATTAATAACAAGATCACTGTACAAGATGGTCCCTGGGCCCTATAGACGTATAACTTCTGCCACTCATTGGTACACATTTCTCCTTACAGAGCCACGTAAGTTGTATTTTAAAATGCCGCAGGACCCCCTTTTCTGGTTCGAAAAACTCATACCCCTCTATTCTGTCTTTGGCTTTGTGGTCACATTCGATGAATTGGCTGACTACTCCCTGCCTCTGCAACCTTGTGGCTCACGCTGGTTGTGGGCAGGCGTGATGCAGAACGTCGAAGCACTCTTTCTTCATATGCGCTGCATGCTTGTGGCACGCTAGAGCCCAACCCATGCTCGATAGTTTCCGCACGAATGATGATAATGGTAGTTGTTTGGACACGTCGAAGCTTCGAGGCCAATTAAACTCAGAGCGTCCCCTTGCAACCGCCAGAAAGTATGCAGCGCAGTCTTCAGTGTTTGCCTCACCTATATGCTTCGCCAAGCACCTAAACCCCCAATAACCCAAAGCTTTAGACCCAAAGCCCATAATTCCCAGATGGGAGTTTCCAAAAATAGGGGACCCTAATATAGTACCCTAAATAGTAGGATCCTTATTGTAAGGACCCCAAGTAAGGTATCCCTCATTTTCGGAACCTCCCATATTTGTCTGTTGTTGGCGCCATTCGAAGGTGGAGCTGCTATTTCAGGAAGTCCTCAGCGCAATCAAAGACCTGACGCAGGCCTGACTCCAATGCACCACTCGGCGCTTTTGGGTTTGAAGGTTGGCGGTTTGTATGTGGGTGGTTGTCAAAGTTATGGTCCCTTTTTGGGTACCCTAAATAATAGGTGCCGTACTATAATATATAAGGACCCGAAAAGGGACCCGAATATTGACAACCACCCATGTGGGTATGATTCAATGATGATTGTTTTCCGAGACTGCAGCTTGACAAGAACCTTCAACAAACTATCAGACATGTACATAAATGAGGGTTCAAGGCTCCACCACCCTACCATTCAAAGTTGAATAGGTTGATACCCGAATCTTCTACCAAAGTCGTCTCGCTCGCTCAATTCACTCCAGGCCTTCAGCTGTGCCTTGATCAATCGCATGCAATCCAGAAGCACTGCATTATCCTTAACCTTCCACCCTAGACCGTAAAGCCTTGAACCCTACACAATCCGACTTCAATGTGGCAATCTTAAACTCTATAAACCCCTTTCTGTTCAGCCTCTTTCCACAGGATGAATTTCGAACGCATAGGGCTGACTCAAGGGAGACGGAACAAGCAGTTCAATCACAAATGAATCCCAAGCCCTCAACTCCAAACCCTACGTCAGCACCAAACCCGAAACCCTAAGGCCCTGACTATAAACCCCACGCGCCCTTAAACCCCAAGCCCCAAACCCACCCCGAACCACCAACTTGACCGCAACAGGACCAGGAAGGCACGGCCACTGTCGGCGAAGTGTTCAGCAAAGCCAGGCATGAGCTGATGGTCTACACAGAGACACTCTCCCTCCCTCCCTCCCTCCCTCCCTCTCCCTCCCTCCCTCGCTCTCTCTCTCTCTCTCTCTCTCTGTCTCTCTCTCTCTCTCTCTCTCTCGCTCTCTCTCTCTCTCTCTCGCTCTCTCTCTCTCTCTGTCTCTGTCTCTGTCTCTGTCTCTCTGTGTAAGAGGGCTTGGGGATTTTGTGCGTTGCTTATTAATGGCTTTCGGGTTTTCGGTTTGGGGCTAGCCTGAAGCTTCAGCGTTGTAGCGTCTGGGGGTAGCCTGTTGTTCATGGGCACAGTGAGTAGTTTCTGGGACGAGTTGAGGCTAAGTGCACAGGTCAACCCCGCTGCAACGCTAGTATTCGGAGGGCGTAGGGTTTCGCGTTATCATTCCAGTCTCCCCATCAGTCTTTGCAGGAGCTTTAGTGCAGGATTCGGGGTCCTTGATTTTTCGGGTCAATGCTTCCAATGTTAGGACTGTTAGGATTTCTGCAAGATTAGGAAGTCCCGGTACCTCGAACTTGATCCTTCGAGCGCCCAAACTCGTCGCTATCTGAAGCCATTGTTCACATTACCATGATGCATGATCTTGTGCTTCCTGCCATTAGAACGCTACCCTGGTTTTGTGTTGCTTTTATGCCCTAAACCGTCAACCCTCGCGCCTCCACCCAGAACCCGACATCGTGGGAGGTATCGCCACATCATCACCGCAGCACGTGGCGCGGGGGCCTCTCAGGAGGATCTCCGGCTTGATGGAGACCTGGCCGAAGATGACGGAAGGGTGCAACTAGGGGGTTTTTCATCGGGTAGTTTCAGGTCCTTGTATTAAGACACAGTGATGCGCCTTGGGTGTGGGTGTACTGGAAAGGGCTTGCATAGACGCGCGGCCCTTCGGTTAGGTATGGGTACTTTTAGGTAATGTAGGTGTCCTAATGGTTAGAATCGGGTTTTGGGGGGTTTCCTTATTGTGAATTACAGTACAATATATACCCTCCAAACCCTATTCTAATTCTTAAGGTCCCTACATTACCCAGTCTTGGCCTATTGGAATTGAGTTGCTGCAAAAAATCAGTCTCATGGCTCGTGCTTGCTGTTTTCAACCGGTTCCTGAGTTGCTGTGATTGCTCGGAATATTCGGATTGTAGTTTGATCTCCCACTGTCGCCCAGTATTGCTGCCAGCAGTACTACTACCACTGACGCTGCGACCACCAACGCCAACCCTGCTGCAGCTGCCAGCCGCCCCGCCTCTTCCGAAACTACTACATAATGCAATGGGATAGTCTATTCGGCTAGTAGAGAAAAGTATAGTATAGTATGATAAGGTATGAACGGTATAGTCTACTTGATCTACTTCTTGTACTGTCCGACTAATGCGACTTGTGCTATCATCCAACCCTGCTGCTCATGCTGCTCATGCTGCTGCTGCTGCTGCTGCTGCTGCTGCTGCTGCTGCTGCTGCTGCTGCTGCTGCTGCTGCTGCTGCTGCTGCTGCTGCTATACTACTGCTACCACCACTACTACTACGACGACGACTGATACTACGACAACAACTACAACTACAACAACAACAACAACAACAACAACAACAACAACAACAACAACAACAACAACAACAACAACAACAACAACAACAACAACAACAACAACAACAACAACAACAACAACAACAACAACAACAACAACCAACAACAACTACTACTACTACTACTACTACTACTACTACTACTACTACTACTACGACTACGACTACGACTACGACTACGACTACGACTAACCACTACTACTACTACTATACTACTACTACTACTACTCCTACTACTACCTACTACTACTCCTACTCTACTCCTACTCCTACTCCCTACTCCTACTCCTACGCCTACTCCTACTCCTACTCCTACTCCTACTCCTACTCCTACTCCTACTCCTACTCCTACTCCTACTCCCTACTCCTACTCCTACTACTCCTACTCCTACTCCTACTCCTCCTCCTGCCTCTCTCCTGCTCCTGCTCCTGCTCCTGCTCCTGCTCCTGCTCTGCTCTGCTCTGCTCTGCTCCTGCTACTGCTACTGCTACTGCTACTGCTACTGCTACTGCTACTAAGCCCCTTGGCTCCGCCAGGTTGAGAAAGAGAGATGTTGTCGAAACAGCGGGACCCTGCCACCCCCAACAGTAACGGGTGCACTAGAAGGTCCGAGTGCCTCAACCTCAACACGGCTGTAGGCTGCATGATGGCTGCGCTTCTTGCCTGTCTGTTCCCACTTGCCCCACCATGGCAACAGGGCTCAAACTTTGTGCCACAGAGTCCCAACTGGACAGCCTCCAGTCCGTGTGCTTGGTCCGGCTCTCAGCATCTGCAGCTCCCCTTACTCTTGTGGCCAGTTGCTAGGTGCACTTCAGAGCAGCTGTTTCTGAGCGCCGCCTTCTGTGCTCAAGCCTCGCTGTCGCATAGCCCGCTCAGCCCAGGATGTCCCCCAAGGAAGCACGGAGAGGCAACCCATCGAGGTCGCGATCTGGAAGGCCTAAGGCCAAAGCAACGGTGGCTCCGGAGACCTCTTCATCTGATAGCCCACCGAGCCCACCGAGCTCAGGCGAGGAGGCCACCGCTCCGCCAGCTGCTACCACAAGTGCTCCAGCAGGACCTCCTCCTCCAGTGCCGGTCAATAGGCCACGAGGAAGCGTTGGATGCGCCAAAAGTAAGCCCGCGGGGCCGCCCCCACCGACTCCAGCATCCTGCACGTCTCTTCCGACAACACCGGTGCAGGCCTTCGCTGCCATGGCTCCAGGAGGCTTACCAGCGGGTGCTCCACCAAGCACAGGGCCTATCACTGTCGCAATGGGAGCTGTTCCTACGCTTCCATCGCCTACTCCGACCTTGCTGCCTCCTCCGACTGCACCCCCAGCACCGAGTGTTAATGCAGCAGAGGGAGTTTCGGGCACACCAGCTGGATCTGCGCAACAGCAGCCAGCCACTATCACTACCAAAGTGGCGGGCTGGACTTTCACGCTTACGGTTAGGCCACCGAGCTGAGCCACGAGACAACAGGTTCTATGGTGGCCAGGCACGAGCTTTCTGCAGAGCTTGCACTACAGGTGCACCTGACAGCTGTCAGCTCTCTGCCGTCTCTTCCTGTATGCAGACTTGTTGTTTTGTGCCCAGCAGCCTCTCGAGTGGGACTCACAAAAGACGTGCTGTCTCTGTCAGCGCACTTGTACTGACACCACTTCGGAGCCAGCTGTCACTGCTATCTTGGACTATCCTTTATGCTGACTGCACTGCCCAGGTCGACCTCATGGCAGACTCCAATGACTTCGCGAAGGCTCCAGGTCAGCGGTGCCCTCCATCTGCAATTGGCATACCTTTGTCGAACGCTGCTTGCCACAGGTCTCAGGTCCCTCGAGACGTCCACTTTGGTGTTCTCCCTGCCCACCACGGGGCTTGGATCTCAGTCCTGCAGCTGCAATCCGTGACCAGCCAACATGAGACTCTGCCGTGCTCCTGCATGCATTCTGCAGCCCCACCATGTGGTTACCGCGTGTGCCTGCAGCTTTCCACAAACCAAGCCACATTGATGACTTTGGTAGAGCATGTGGTCCTACAGTTGACTGCCACTACTTCTGACCACCTTGCTTCCCTTAGGGCTGGGAGACCTCTCGCCGAATACTTGCAGGTATCATCCCCTCAACTTCTTAAGTCAAGGGACTATCCTGTCTTAACGAGCCCCACCTGCGCCCTTCGAGGGATCATGGAGCCTGCCTCCGAGCCTGACCGGCCGCAGTGGCAGGCGGCACTCGTCCCGCTTACAGTGGGGACCGAAGTAGAGGTGATCGACGGTCACAGACGTCATCTCGTCGGTCGCCGAGGGATTGTGCTCCCTACCTTGGAGTGTGACCGCAACACTACGCGGAATGTGCGGATCATACAAGGCCCTCGGGATGAACAACGTCGTACTTTTACAATCGACAAGGAGCACCTCGCTCCCCGACTGGGGTTGGAAGCCACACAAGCTTCCATGTGTGATGGAATGGAGCCGAGTCTGAGGTGGAGATGTGCTCCCCCACCATTAACCATCTACAGCGCCCGATACCTCCTCGGCTATCAGGCCCTGGAGACCATGGTGCCTCCGGCGGCACCCAAACGGAATCCAGCTGGCCACTATATCCATCCCCCGGTGGAAGATGCTACGCTTGAGGCACCCTGGGAAAAACACGTTGACCAAGCTAGCGATCGGCCCTTCTACTACCACCCGGGGACAAAGCAGGTGACCTGGCGCAAACCTCGGCCTGCCCTGGTTCTTCCGAGGGAAGAGGAGACTGGGCCCACCAAGCCCAGGCGAGGCAAGACTACGATCCCCCAACCTCGTACTCCGAGTCCGCCTCCTCCCAAGAGGATGAGAAAGCATCCCACCAGCGATGCTCCGCAGAACACCACGAGCTCTACGACTCAGTCTTCAGCTTCTGCCACAGCTACAGGGACACCTACTACAGAGAGGAAGCCCGCTCCGGCCTTTGATCCCCAATCTTCTGGTGGCCCTTCTGAATGGAACCTGGCCGATCATGCTTTACCTGCCTCTCCAGATCGGGTACTGATCTGGGGGGCCAAGGCCAGGACACAGCTGCCCCAACCGCCGAGTGCTCCTGCTTGTACCCTGGATGTGGAGAGGTTTCTGCAGAGCTTCTTCAGGACACGGCAAGGCCCCACTGGCACATCTCTTGCCACCCTACTTGGGGACCCAGTCCCGCAACCTGATGGTTGGTGGAGGCTCCCGTGGACACCACTGGATCCATGGCACTGCGAGCTGCTGTGTCAGGATGGCTGGCTAAGGGGCTGGCACGGATGTAAGATGGAGGCGCTTTACTCCATCATCTACCATGGTCAACTTCTCCCGAGCACTGACGAGTCGAAAGGCGACAGATTCCTGGCAGGCTGTCCAGGGGTGTATCTGCACCGCGACAGCCTGCAACACAAGGTGGAGAACTACATGCGATGGATACCACTATGTGGAGATGGTCTCTTTTGGGCTGCCAAGTGGGAGGTGGTGTATGCTCCCTCGGGGAGCAACAAACATGGCAAGCGTACTGATCAGGTTATACAAAGTGCTGAGTCGGTGGAGCTGGTGGCCCTCTGGCTCTCAGTGCGCTCCGAGAACATGCTGCCTGAGGGAACTGCTGTGCAGGCCACATGGACGCCCGCCCGTGAGGCCAACCCTTGCCTCACAGAGTCCAAGCGGCGAAGCAGTGCTTTGATACAGGCTGTGGACTTTGCGGCACTTTCTGCCTCCTCCAGACCTTTGCCCAGCTCCAGTTCGCGGTCTGACCCGGCGATCGACGACAAAGGCCGACTCAAGCCGACACCCAAAGCTCGTGGTCGCCTGCCACACATCCCTTCTGAACTAGAGAAGGACTGCACACCTGCACAAGCGAAGCTCACCATACAGGCAGGAGATCTCGTCCTTCGATCGGCCACAGCACATAGCTCGGAGACTCCTAATGCTCCGACCATGGTTTCGGCTGCTACCTTGGCCGACCCATCAGATCCACCTCAACGAGGACCCAAACGGGTTCGATCTGATGCTTCCTCTCCGAAACCAAGGAGGATGCAGACACGGCCCAAGCCGAGACGATCGATTTGGTTTGATGTCACGGACAATCCGGCTGATCAACCACCTACGACCTCCTCAACTGCAGCCAAAGGCCGTGGCACTGGGATGACCAAAGCTGCGAGGCACCAAGAACGTGTCCGCAAGAAGATGGCC